AACTCTCTCAGCCTCTCCCAACGTCACGGAATCATCGCCGCTCTGCGACCTCGCTCCGGATCGGTTTTGTGCCCTTCCTTCCTTCCTTCCTTCGCGTGTCTTGTGTGCCCGCCCTTCGCTAATGCGGTCCTCTCCCGCTCTCTCATCTGTGTAACAGTTTGCGCGGGCTCTCCACTTGCTCTTCTCCTCGGCTGATGTACAGCTCGTAAGCCAGGAGATGGCCGCCAACAACAACAACAACAACAACACCGCCGCCACCGGCTTCAGCAGCAGCAGCAGCAGCAGCAGCAGCAGCAGCAGCAGCAGCAGCACCACCACCACCACCACCAGCAACAACAACGAGGGGATGACAGACGTGGAGGAGGATCGCTCTCGCCCTGGCGATGCCAACGGTCAGCGGCCACCGGTGGAGCAGCCGGCCCTGCCCTCCGTCCCCAACAAGCCTCCCCTCACCCGCTCTCTGTCCAAGATGCCCAAGGACCAGCGCACCAGCCGCGAGCGCCTCTCCTGGTGTGTTACCCCCCCCCACTCCCCCTCTTCTTGCTTCTTCACGCGCACACTGCATATTTATATAAATATTTCAATATATATTTGAGGGGCTAACGCGCGGCGCATCCTCGCCCCCGCATGGCAGGAGCGTGAGGAAGACCCGCAGTGGCTACAACCCCACGAAGCCGATGGCCGAGGCCACCGACACCGCCCCCGATCGCCCGCTCCGGCAGAAGCCGCAGCCGCAGCCGCCTCCGCCCCAGGCCCAGCAGGACCAAACGGGGGCCAGCCACCAGCATGGGGAGCAGCACCGCCCCGACTACTTTGACGACTACGCCTTCGAGCGGCTGCTGGGCAGCAAAGACAAGGAGCGTGTGTGGTGGGCGGCCGTCTCCAAGCCCCTCCACGGCCTCGGCGTCACCATCCAGAAGACCATGGACATCAACCCCGCCAACTGCAGCGACCTCCTCACCTCCGCCAAAGTACCATCGCGCCCTGCGCTCCCATGATATTGTCTCTTCCCTTCGTTAACACGACACACACGACACACACGACACACACGACACACACGACACACACGACACACACGACACACACGACACACACGACACACACGACACACACGACACACACGACACACACGACACACACGACACACACGACACACACGACACACACGACACACACGACACACACGACACACACGACACACACGACACACACGACACACACGACACACACGACACACACGACACACACGACACACACGACACACACGACACACACGACACGACACACCACACACACGCGGACAATAGCATCTGCGAACAAGCCTGCGGCATGCCAACGTTGCGCGCCTCTATGACTGCTTCGCCGTTGGCAATGAGCTCTGGCAGGTATGTGCACCTCTGCCCCTCGCCCCATGCCGTGCCATGCACGCCTCCCCCCCAATGTACGTCCACTGGCCTATAATTGGAACGTGTGTGTGTGTGTGTGTGTCGCGTGTCGCGTGTCGTGTGTGTCTGTTGGTGGTATCTGGCCTCAGGTCATGCAAGCATCCGTGGCCGAGTATTCCCTCAAACAGCTGCTCCAAGGTAGGCTTCCCCTCCTCGCAATCCATGGGGCGCAAGCGGGGCGGCCCCTGACCAGGATGGACCGCCCCCCCCCAACCAGACACGAGGAGCAAGACCCTGCACGAGAGCACGGTGGCGGCCATCTTGCAGCAGGTGGGCGAGGGGCTCAACTACCTCCACCAGAACGGATTGATAGGCCACGACCAATTCTCCTCCTCCAACCTGTTTGTCGACCGGTACAACCCCCGCCAACCCTCCAATCGGGTCCCCCCTTTCCACAAAAGCGCCGCAACCAAGCATACGAGGCTCCTGCTCGGCTGTTAGGCTGCGTTAGGCCGGGCTGGATGAGGGCTAAACCCATGGCTTACGCGCACGCCGGTGGTGGCTGGTGGCTGGTGGCTGGTGGTGGTCGTGGTGGTGGCGGTGGTGTCCATTCATGAACCGCCAGGTCGACGGGCACGCTGCTGCTGATGAACAGCGTCGAAGGTCACCTGAAGCAGAGCGCGCACAAGCTCGACACCTTTGCCTCGCAAGACACCTACGCCTACAGCGCTCCCGAAGTGTGCGGCGTCAAGAACAAACCCACGCGCGTGGCCGACACCTACGCTCTTGGCATCCTCTGTACAGCCCACCCCTTCCCCTCTTACCGCCACCGTCGGGACCATGGCACGGCACGGCACGGCACGGCAAAGTGATGAATATATGCATCATCATCATCATCATCATCATCATCATCATCATCATCATCATCATCATCATCATCATCATCATCGCCGCAGCGCACACCTACCCACGCGCCCCGTGCTCCTCCTAATCTCTCTCTCTCTCTCTCTCTTTCTCTCTCCTCGCTCCTCGCTCCTGTGGGCTCCTCCAGCGCTGGAGTTGGCCACAGGGCAGGCGCCCTTTTCGGACATGAACATCCTCCTGCAGATGAACGCTAAAGCGCGCCGCCCGTCCCCGGCCCTCCACGGCGAGAAATGGAGCCCCGCCTTCCGCGAGTTTGTCGACGCCTGCCTCCAGAAGGAACCCGCCAAACGGTATGGCCTCCACCTCTCAAGTTGTAACAACAACCAACAACAACAACAACAACAACAACAACAACTCTCGTTGGCCGGGGTGCACTGCTGACGCGTCATCATCCCCAACAGACCAACGGTGGACGAAGTCTTGAAGCACCGCTTCTTCGACCCGGTGAGGGCTGACTCGCGGGGTCCCCTCCTGCAACATCTGGCCTCGCGTCTCAAAGGTGCCGCCGCCTTCTCTCTTTCTCTTCTCTTCTCTTCTCTTCTCTCTCTTCTCTTCTCTTCTCTTCTCTCTCTCTGTGTGTGTGTGTGTGTGTGTGGTTCTCTCTCTGTCTCTCGTTGGCCTCTTTCTTGAGCGTTTTCGGCGGCGGGCTCATCCCCCCTTCCCTCTTCTTGCTCCAACAACAGATCACAGCGCCGTCAATGAAGAAGAAGGAGAAGATGATGACGATGAAGAAGACAGCGACGTCTACAGCGACACCGATGCCGAAATGGATAGCAGCAGTAGCGAGAGCGAGAGCGAGAGCGAGAGCGACAGTGACGGCAGCACCGGTGCTGCGGCGCAGCCCGTGGCGAAGCCGAGCCCCATCAAGGGGGAGGTACCCCCGCTAGCCAAGACAAAGCGCAATCCCAGCAGCGGCAGCAGTAGTAGCAGCGACAGCGAACACGAGGAGAACGAGACGGCGGCGACAGGAAGCAAATACGCGGCGTGCCGGCCGCGTGCCCTCTACGATTCGCTCGCCTTTCCCGCAACTGAGGCACGGCACGAAGCCGCAGGGAAGCTCGCTGCACAGCAAGGCGGCCTGGTTCGACGAGAAGGCGGGGGCGGAGGAGGAGGAGGCGAAGGTTGGGCGGCAGACACGTGGAAGCGAGAGACAGAGACGGAGGTGGTGCTCCTCCTTCGCACATGCGAGGGGACACAGATCGAGTGCACCGTGCGGGAGGACGGCCAAGCAATCGTGCTCGCCTTCTCCGCCCCTCCCCTTCCGATCGACGTGCGCGCGCTCCTGCGCCCCACCGACGATGACGACGCCGGCGACGACAGTGCCTTCCAGCCGCACCGACGGACCACGCAGGTACCGCTCGCCCAGGGACGTGCCGCTGGGGGTGCCAACGTGCCGGTCGAGGATACGCACCACCCGGGCATCAAGGTCGTCACCGTGAAGAAGCTCCGATGACGCCCCCTGTGGTGGAAGATAGAAAAATAGACCACTCCGTATTTATTAGTCGTGTTCGCTCTCTTCATGAGGGACCCACCACCACCACGCCAGCTGTGGCGGCGTAGTGGGCGTAGATAAAGGCCGACATCGGGTAGGCCCGCATCCACACGCCCACCTCCGTGAGCATCGCCCTGCCCACACACACCCGGGTCAGAAGCTGCTGGCGCGAGAAAGAGCGAAAGCGAAAGTGGTCAGCTGGTGGGAAGCGCACTTGATGAGGTCGATCCGCTTGCAGGAAAGGAAGACGTCCATGATGGCGCCCGTGCTCATGAACATGCAGTGGGGCAAATACTGGAGGTGGCTACGGTTGCCCTGGATGCAGGTCTCGGACGTAAAGATGCTGTTGGTGGCTGCAGCAGGGTGGGTACTGGCTGGTGGGAAGGTAATGGTACCTTGATCTCGGTCAAGAACTGAAGAGCGGTGGTGAAGGCGAGCTCCAGGTCGCCGCAGAAGAGTGCAATTTCGGCCTTGAGGGAGCAGTAGGCCAGCACCATGCACAGCCGGAGGGAGGGTCCCAGACGGAAATCTGCACCACCCACATATGCGCAGAGGTGGGTGAGACACGACACGACACGACCACCACCACCACAGCAGCAGCGCCAAAAAGAAGCCTGTGGCGGAATTGGGGGGGTGGGGGTTGGCCGAGAACCGATGGCGAGCTTTTCTTCGTAGAGCGCAAGGGCCTGGCCGAAGAAGCGAACGGCGCACTGGTCACGCACCACCGCTCTCTTTTTCTGCTGGTGCTGGTGCTGGTGCTGGTGCTCGTGGTGGTGCTGGTGCTGGTGCTGGTGCTCTGGTGCTGGTGCTGGTGCTGGTGCTGGTGCTCGTGGTGCTGGTGAGGCATGAGGTTGTAGGTCGAACACAAGGTTGTGTCATCGGGGGGTTTATCAGGCTCAAGACCCGCATGTGCAAGCGGATGCGCCACGATGGCGGCCTGCTGCCGAGGAGGGAGCTTTCGACGCCGTCGCCCACCTCTTCGCGCGCCCGACTGGTCGCGGGTCCTTTCGGGGGCCGGGGCGGGTTCGGGTGCACCTGACGAGGAGGCCTCGGCCTCGCGGTCGATGTGGCCGATGGTGTGCAGCGGCAGCCCCTCCATTTCGGTCCAGAGGGTGGTCGAGGCGGTCTCCTTGTACAGGTTGAGCAGCAGCAGACAGCTTGACACCAGGTGCGAGACACTCCGCCACTCTGCGCATACGTTACGAAGAAAGAAAAAGAAAAAATAGTAGGCATGTCAACCCACCCCAGTCGACGACACGTAGACACACACGCTGGGCGACGACGCGGGCAGGGCAAGACGAGGAAGCAGAGGCCATACCGCGCAGGAGGGCCGGCAGGTGGTGTGGCGGGTGGCGGGCGGAAGTGTGGCCCCCCTCCTCGGGGCTCGTCACGATGTGGCGGTACTTCTCTGTGGCGAGGGCGAGGCGGTCCTCCTCCATGCGGTACTCGCGCAGGTCCACCTTGGCCGTGAGCTCCTGCATCAGCACCAGCTTCTCGCTCTGCGGGATCGACGGATCCATCAAACCCCCGTACAGCGTACGCACGAACACATCTGCCCCCCCCAAACCACCAAAACGCCGCCACCACGTGAGGGGGGGACTAGTTAAGATGAGAGAACTCTCTCTCTCTCTCTCTCTGTGTGTGTGTGTGTGTGTGTGTGTGTGTGTGTGTGTGTGTGTTATGTTATACAAGGTCCGTGAGCGTGTGTGCGGTTGAGTGTGTGCGGCCGCACTCACAAGTGGTGTGTGTGTCGTGTATGTGTCGTGTGTGTGTGTGTGTGTGTGTGTGTGTGTGTGTGTGTGTGTGTGTGTGTGTGTGCGTGCGTGCGTGTGTGTGCGTGCGTGTCGTGTGTGTCGTGTGTGTCGTGTGTGTCGTGTGTGTCGTGTGTGTCGTGTGTGTCGTGTGTGTCGTGTGTGTCGTGTGTGTCGTGTGTGTCGTGTGTGTCGTGTGTGTCGTGTGTGTCGTGCGCGC